GTATCATGTTAACTAAAAACGAACTTCTTTCCGGACTAAAAATTGCAAATCGTGCTGTCTGGGGCGAGTGCCACATGCGTATCTGATCTGGCGCGAAAACCACGCCTGAGCCGTTTGGTTTTATCGTGAGAATGCCGTACAAACTTCACTTTGGAACGAAACTCATTCCTGAATGCAAGTCATTCCTGTGTCATATAAACAGCTCCTTCAATAAACTTCCACTCATACGTACGTACTCGTTTTCCTGAGGGTCAATAGCAAGAGTTGACTGTACAAGGTGAAGTCCCTTTTTGGATTAGGATAGGAGTTTTTTTCTTTGTGTGCCAGAGGATATTTTTTCTTTCCATTCCTGTTAGTTTGCGGCAAAAAAATACCACGAGCACGGTTTATTTCATCCTAGATATTTCTTGAACGGACCTCGGGAGCCCGGGGAGGAGTTTCGTTGACGGTAAACGTACAATTTAATGCTTAATGCTTGTTTTTGTGACAACCACAGGATGATGGGAGAAATTATTAAGGTCATATTCACAACAACTGAGAAAGACCACCTAGACCGACAATGTAATCCGGCTTCTTGACTAACTTGCACAAGCTCTCCATTTGAGGGAGTCGCGAGAAGTCATGCGAGAGTTGCACGCCCCTCTCGACTTTGCTGCAGCTCCCTCTCGCGTTCCCTCGAGGTTCGCCTAGCTCACCGCATATAATATAATCGTATGGAGAGCTTGCTCGCTCGCGGGATACCTCTTGACAACAATAACAGGAAAATACCGTATTTAAAATTCCGTCCAGTTGTTTGATGCTATAGTAATTAATGTAAATAAAATGTCGTTTGCCGTTTGCTTTGACTTCTAATGATTGTTATACATTATTACTGGAAACCCTTCTACCCAAGCACGCCATTTTGAAAAGAAGAATGGGGCAACTTTTGCACATCTACTGTATATGTTCTCGCATGAATTAATCAGTCAATCAAACTACTGTGGAACCGCGGTTTTAACGAGCCTCTAACGAAGTCTTTCGAATAACGAACGATATTCTTCGCCGCACCAATAGTAAACATATATGGAATGGAAAAGAATTTCGAAATAACGAGACCTCTTTATAGCGAACGTACTTTGCCAGTCCAATTGCTTTTTGTTATATCGAGGCTCTGAGTTGTAATCGTTTTTTTTCAGGATTTTTTTAATGATTCTGTCGATATCAGTTTGTGCAGTGTATTTACTAGAATAATCATAATTCTTTGAATCTTGGGGAATAGTGGCCTTAGAAAACTTTTAATTACTACCTCGATGTATAAAACAAACCGATAGTATGGATAGCGTTGTAGAAATACTCTGACTTGTATAACGTACTTATGACTGTAACAAAATCTTGTCAACTAATGATACTTAAATGCGTTTTTTAAACATTGTCGCTTTTTTATGTGCTGTTGCTGAGAATCGAAAAAAAAAAATAGCCGGCAAGGGGTTAGGGCTTGCAGTGTTTTATAATTACTTGTTGCTGTGGCAACCATTGCGCCTAAAATGTCGGGGGGAAAGGTTAAGAATTAAGGAAATGACATTTTGACTCGTAATCCTCTTGTTTTGTGGTTTCTAATAGTGTCTTCTCGTTAGCTGGTAAATGATTGCGAGAGCTTACAGCTTACACTATAGTGTCTTCTCGTTAGCTGGTAAATGTTTGCGAGAGCTTATGTTGTTGATTCGATGATTCGATGATGATAATGTTTGCCTACCACTAAACCTCAATCCACAAAATGCCAAAAATATTGGTGTCTAACTTATTTTACGTATGAGTGCAGCATGCAACCAATGTTCTAGTCACTCTCTCTGAAATTCTTCCAGCTTTTCTATGATGAATAATACTTTGTCTTTCTCATTTATTTTAAAAAAGTAAGATTATCGTCTGAATTTTGTGTATGAAGATAAGTTCTGGTGACTCGACTAAAGCGATTGTGTAACTGAATTGCACAATACTTAGCCGGACTGCAGATACAGTCGTGAAAAGCTCATGAAATTTTAATCCAAAACAAACTTTTATCTTAATATGGGTTCTGGTAGTTTACCATCTATGGAACAAATGTTACTAAATCGGAAACGGAGAGCAGGGAGCTGGAAACGAGGAAGGGGAACCTTGGGGAAATGAAAAATGAGAGGAAAACCTGACTGGAACTTTAGCTCTATCAGGATTATCAGTAAACTTGACTTTTAGTTTTTCGTTTTACGTGCTCGTTTCCCGCTCTCCGGTTTAGGAATATTCCCACGAAACCCATAACATATCCCCCTGAACCACATAACATCAGTGTTGTCTGTGACTCGGAAATCATCTGTCAGAAGCTGGCAGAAATACAAACCTTTTGCAAGGAAATCCAAAGCCGTACGACCTATAAATATAGAATTTCAGGATCATCACTCGAATCGCCTTTCATTGGCCACCAAAGACTGAAGGGAAGGTAAAGGATACGTAGTCAGACGTAGTCTCAGTGTACTTAACACGCTCTTTTATGATGGAGGAGAAAGAGGAACCCTCACATTCCTGTGAATCTCACAAACTTTCATCAAAATTTGTTTTACCTGTTTCGTTTGTTTCGCTGCTTATTTGCCTTACTGCTTTAGTCCGAGTGGAGATCATAAACCAGCGAGTTCATGCTATTGAAGATTTGATAGCGGAAGTACATGTACATCAAGCATCGAATCAAGAAGCTGCCAGAGGTGGTTTATACTTAGTCAAGTCTGTTGGTAGTTTTGGTTATAACTGGAATACAAAACAACAATGGAAGGAATACACTGACGGTAAAGTGAACACATTTACTACGCTGCAAATTTAGCTCTGTAAACAACATTTATCCCATTCGCCTCCTGAATTTAAAACAAAGAGACTTAAGATTCTACATTGGAATTTGTTACCTTTCGATAAACAAATTTCTTACCGTTTGTTAATTATACCAATTCCCTGCTATGACTTCAAAAGGCTAAAATATATACTTACATAATTCTCCTTCTTGGTTTATCTTAAAATATCACCAAGATAATTTAGAAAGCCTCTTAATATAAAGTGCAATTAGTTAGCAAAACCCAGAGGAGATGCCTATTCCAGTAAGTTTCATTTTTCACGTAGAACGATAGTGGGCAAGTTTTGACAAAACGCTTATGATTTAGCTGATTAAGAAAAACCTTAGTGGTAATTACACACCGAAAAACAAACGGAAAGAGTTGGAACGTGATCACCATGATACTAGTGGTCACGTCCCCTTACTTATTAACCATTCATTTTCGAATAATGTCAAAAGCCTGCTTATACCACTCTGGCCTTTTCGTAGAAAAAGCAACAGAAAATGTTAATAAAACGTGCTTCAGCCGTAGGAAATATAGGAGGTCAGGGATTAAAGTAACAAGAGCCGAAACAGGCTGGAACGTTAAGCATTGAGTTCTCTCTAAGGGGTCAGTCTGGTTAAAAGCATTATTTTTCGCTGAACAATTTTCTAGCCAAGATCTCATTTAATCAAAAAATGATTAAATTAAGTTGGAGTCCTTAATTCAATATTTTTTTGAGAAATTTTGGATGATTTGTCGAATGTTTTTTAATGTGTGGAAAGAAATAGGGGGGAGGGGTGTTTAAAATTTTCGAAAAATTGGAAAACATTGGATTTGGGGATTGTTTTCAAACATGAAGTGAATAATTAGTAGACAACTACCAAATAGTCCACCACCACAACAAAGTACCTCTGATCCAATTAGCAGGCGAACTGGTTTATGTGTATACCTTTTCTACCCTACATGTAATTTATTTCCTTCTCAAATCAACATCATTTCCTCCCAAAAATAAGGTGAATGGCGGTCAGTTCATGAAGCTGATTGAAATTGTCAAAGGAGATTGAGGATACCATTTTTACAAGTGTATGGACATGATTTGTCTTATTTTCAATTCGCGTCAACGTTGCGGTTGGGATAAAATGCCAAAGAATATAATTTCAAAAGCATTTCGACATTTTTCTGATAATGGAATTCAACAATGGCGACCGGAGTGTTGTGTACGCATGTATTGTTGATCTCGTTTGATACTCGGATGAGGCGTCGTGCCCGGGTAAGTAGGGAACTTAAGAACCACGACGAAGTTCAAGACGACGACCTCTGTTGACTGGAAAAAGATTGGAACGAGAACGTCAGTTTCGGCAGGAAAAAGGAGACTTAAGATGCAGTCGGTCGGTAGGTCGACGACGACGACACTGAATGTAAACACAAATGTAAAACTGTGATGTTTGTTCGCAAAACGTTTTTTGTAATGGCGTCTTTTAAAACAATGCAAGATTTTATTTTTTAAGCCGTACGTCTAATTTCATTGACGATGTGGAATTTTTTGTGTTGTCTGGCCTTTTCGAGTGGAAAAACGCCTGCTTTCCGTAAGAAGATTATTCAACTTTCAACCTGAATGAGTTGACCGAGTCTGACTGTCTGTCATAGTTTAGATTTGGAAAAAGAGACATTCTGATGTGATAGCTGTTTTCCGTATAAAGTTTATTTCCTCTTTAGTAATTAAAGCTATATGATTTGCCTTACCTAAATACGTACAAATAAATTTATCACTTACGAGTTCGCTCGCTTGGCCTCCACAGCTGTTGTGTCATTTTTTCGAGGTAAAAACAATTCATTTGTCGAATTTTCAATGAACATCGGTTTTTAGGAGAAAAAAGGAACGATACCTGGATTTACGAGAATAACAAAATGCAAAGGACTTCAAAAATCGTTTAAAACAGTGGATTTATACCTGCCGAAGCTTGTGGATTGCTGGACGACGTGATTCTACTTTGTTTGGCGTCGTCGACGACGAAATTTACTGGTCGCGCTTGCTTAGTACACTGTAACTCACTTTCGGTCGTCGGATGCCGTGGATTTCTAGAAAGTTTTTACGCGTATATTGCTCCAATTCTTCCAGATCAAAGTCAATTCCATCTTTTTCCTCGGTGACTGTTTGCAATTTCTGCTTGGTAAATTGGTGCTCCTTTTTAGCTCTGCATTCTCTTTTGAAGTTTGTTCCAACATGAAGTCCAGCTTCTTCCACTTAAGCATTTCGTCTTTGAGAGTTGTTTTTAAATGCATTACCTCCTCTCTTAGGCTAAGATTCTCCTGTTTCAACGTCGATAAGGTTTCTTGTATACTGGATAGCATCCCGTTTAATTCGGTTAGACTCGTCTCAGGTTCGGAGCTGTCGTGGGAACGAGAAGAAGGAGAAGCCGTTGCCTTGCTGGAGTCCGCCATGTTTGGACGTTTCGCGTCGTTCGTTTCGTCTTCTTCAACAGATCCTATGGCTCCTCGTTTGTTTTTTCACCGCTTTTTCTCATTTACACTAGGTTGATTATATTATCATGTAAGATTCTACCTTCATTTCTCACAGTTCCAGGCACATTTAGGAAGGGAGCGCTCCGCTTCAAAATACACGTCCGAACCGTTTGCACTCACGCATGCTCTCTCTTTGTGCGTGTTTGGCGTCGTCGACGACAAAAAATTTCCTGGTCGCGCTTGCGCAGTACACTGTAACTCACTTCCGGTCGTCGTCGTGGTTCTTAAGTTCCCTAGTATGTGGAAAAGATTTATTGGATCTATAAGCGGTATGGAAACGTTTCAGCGATTGGCTCGCTTCGGGTCGAAACCGTCGGAACCAGATTCCTGTAAAAGTGACAATAAGTCAATTCTATCCAGTATTTGTTCAATACGACTAACAATCAAATGTATTCTATCGGTAGATAACATTCACAAGTTGAGAACCCGTCGTTTGGCTTCTGACAGTCTAACAGATCAAAGGCTCACTATCCAAGTAGTCAAGAGGGAGATAAACAAGACCTTACTTTCACTAACACCACAAGTATTTTGTTCAAAGAATGAAAAAATATGTTTGCATGGTCCGCCCGGAAGGCGGGGTCCTAAAGGATCACGTGGTCGAAGGGGACCTCGCGGAGTCACAGGAAGAAAAGGTGCAAGGGGAGAAACAGGGGATCCAGGGCTAGACGGGAAACAAGGACCTGTTGGTCCACCCGGGCTGAAAGGAGAGCAAGGTATTAAAGGAGAGCCGGGACCTAGCGGATTACCTGGTGCAAAGGGAGAACCGGGAGAATCAATTTCATCCCCGGTGGTTACGATATCACCTATGAAACAAACTGTCAGGGAGAACCAGAATGCAGTATTCCAGTGTTCTGCGACCGGAAATCCACGACCAACGATCACGTGGTCACAGGCCCATAAGTCTGGCTTGTCGGATAGTCTCCAATTTGAGCCAAATGGAAAACTGGTGGTACGTAAGGTGACTCTTGCAGACTCTGGAAGATATATCTGTGCTGCAAGGAGTGCATTTGGTTCGGCAAACATCTCCGCTAGTCTGCAGGTTGAAGGTAAACAGAAGATAACCACAGGGAGTCTGGTAACGCAATGTTTGCTTTGTTGGTCTTAATTATACATGAAATTGCATAACCTTGGTACATGCGTTATGCTTAAGAATAAAGAATCCAATATGGTTATTGTAATTTAGCTAACGCTATTCATCTTGGTTGAATTACAGTTATTACTTTTGTTTAATTAGCTCCCCCTCGCATTCAGCTAGCCCCAGCTCCCACTCATGCTAAAGTGAGGCAAAACATCAGGCTCCCTAAATGTCATGTGACTGGATTTCCCGCACCAGCTGTGACCTGGAGAAAGTTAACCGGCTACCTTCCAAGGAACAGAGCTGTATTCCACACAGGATCATTAACCATACAAGCTGCCCTGAGCAGCAATTCGGGGCCTTATGAGTGTACAGCCAGAAACCGTCTTGGACAGGCGTCCAAAATAACGACTTTGTTCGTTTGGTCTAGGCCAACATTCACCACGAAGCCACCTAGCGTGGTAGTTAAAGTTCTCGGTGAAGATCTATCTCTAGACTGCACTTCTACCAATCAAGCCTCAGTTTCGTGGAGACGTGTCGGGGGAGCCTGGGAGAAACAACGAATGAAAGTTGAAAATGGAACGCTAAAGATCTCCTCACTCAGGATGTCTGATTTTGGGGATTACATCTGTGAAGCGAAACTTTTAACATTTTATAGCATCCAAACAAAGACTACACTCGATCTAGGTAAGAATAACCGATGTAAAGGTCGCAAAAAATTGTTGGCTGAATGAATGATATCTTTACTTGTGTGTCAATACAAGACTAGATTTTTCACTAAAATGTCTTGAGGGATTGACAGTTTTTTCTTCAGTCGGTAGGTGGCTCCGGTTTGGAGCTAAAGTCCATTTTCAGTTTATACATCAAGATGCAAATATTTTTTAATTGCCCGGCTTTTGAAGTGAGTAAATTTGCCCTATCTCAGAAAGCCTTCAAGTTGTTTGTTTTGTTTGTCTTTCCTGTATTCTTTTTTGTATCTACTCGTATCGCTTGCTCCAAACCAAATGACAATAAGTTAAATGAGGTACGACAGCCGCCTGATAAAGCAACCAGTCAACCTTTGTACCAAGAGGGCTTTTTAAGGCACACAACGTATTTTACGCTGGGCGAGAGAATCTAGGTAGGATTTAGACTTTTCACAACATTATCAGTGCCGGGTCCGGACTTTGGGATAAGGGATACTCAGGCGATGGAAGGAAATGCACTGGTAAGCTGTATGGTGTATGTATAAAACATATAGTTAAAAGTGTATTTCGCAATACACCCTGTATATAATGTTATTGTGTTACGTAAGAACTCATAAACTATGATGTCACGATTGTGTAATCCACTTAAACGTGCAACAAGTTGTTATCATATCGAAGAATACATCAAACTACCACTTTTAAAATTCTTACAACTTTAACTACATGTTCATTTGCAGATATCGATGAATGTTCTGCCAACACTCACAGCTGTGACGTCAATGCAATGTGTAGCAACACTTTAGGTTCTTACGCATGCGCCTGTAAAGCAGGATACTCAGGCGATGGAAGGACATGCACTGGTAAGCTGTATAGTGTAATAAAGAAACAAAGTGTATAAGATTTAGTTGCTCATTAAAATGTGGAACGATTGCAGCTACAGTAAATCTTACGAATGGGCTTTCAGTGTTTAGGTTCTTCCAGCTCTCACAGCTGTGACGATTATGTATATTGCAGCTTGCAGCACCTCAGAAACGTACATAGAGAAAATAGCTTTAGAGAATAGTCCATCTTTGGTTTTGTAGATTTATATGAATGCATTTCCAGAATATAAATCCTTACAAAAATAAGGACAATGATTCAGTGGAGTAATTAATACAATAAAAACTGCATAGAGTAACTAGACCTATTGACGTTCTCCCGGCGAATAGTCTGCAAATGAATTCTTACCTTGAAATACGAGCAAACTAGGCACGTGTGGTTGCATTGTGTACCTTGTTCTCCGCCGATAATCTTGTTTTTCCTATGAAATATTAATTTCACCTTGTCACACTTTGCGGCATGAAAACCATACAAAGGAGATGTTTATAATTAAAACGTTGTACAATCCTTCAAAAAGCCTCCTGGGTATATATACGTATCGTGTCCGTATCATAGAGATTCGACTGTAATGTAAGGTTTTGAATCATAATCAGTTTTACGTATTCGTAAAATTACGCTTCAAAACCTATCATTACAGTCGGATCTCTATGATACGGACACTACAGTGTCAGTCGTACCAATTAAAGAGGTACGAAATGTATAGATTTGGCATCCCCTAGGACCAAGAGAGCTGTCCGTATTAATTAAACTGAAATTTGTACTCATTGTAGAGTTGTCCGCGGGGAGAGCTTTGACTGGCTGTCATTCATTCTGATTGAAAAAAAAAAAAAAAAAAAAAAATTCAGGACATGATCACCCAAACACTCAATGCCGAGTTTCATCCGATATCTATACATTTAGAAACTGGCGCTAACGCTTATGCCTCAAGAATAATACATAAACTGTGATGCAATCAAGGTGTTAAATTCGAGTTACATACTAGGCTATGATGAATAGATTATATGCAAAGCTTGAAGAGAACACCGAACTTTAACTATCTACCAGTTACAATGTAGTCAGCTATACTTCACAGAACTGTAATTATGTGTTCTCATGTAGATATCGATGAGTGTTCTACCAACTCTCACAGCTGCAACATCAATGCGGTGTGCAGCAATGCTGTGGGGTCGCACGCATGCGCCTGTAAGGCAGGATATACAGGTCGCCCCATGTAAGGGAATCCAAGACAGTCTTGGATTGTAGATTTCACGCCGTTGATTGCGGATTCCAGGTACTGGATTTCAGTCCTTGTCAGAGGGGAACTTAGATTCTTGATTTCGAGTTGTATTCCGGATTACAAAAGCAAAAATTTTCCGGGATTCCGGAATCAGGATTCCCTGATTATACAGGCGATGGAAGGACGTGCCCCGGCGAGTGATTTTTGTTTAGACTGCGAGCAGTCTCTTTGCAGAAACTGGACGGCTTTTAAGAAAAATGGCGGTGGACTGCAAGCAGTCTAGTTTTTGCTTTGTTTTGTTTCTCGCCTTGGTTGTTTTTTCTATATGCATTAAAAGTATAGATATCAGTTCACGTGCGTCTATCACTTACATTCTTGAGTTTATAACAATAAGTTTGATTGCTGTTAATTTCATCTTCTTATACCAAGCTATTTGCTTAGCCGGAAAGCGATTACAATAATGCAAAGTAGTGTTTTTTTTATTTTTTTATTTTATTATGATTATGATTATTATTATTTGTTTTTTTTTATAGATGTTGACGAATGCGTCCGCGGTACTCACGCAATGTATACGCAAAACAGCCAATCGGATTGGCTTCATTTCAATGCATTTCAGTAAACAATTACATTGGTTGTCTTTACACTAGGCTGTTACATTTAAGTAAGACTTAAGAGCTGCTAAGTTTTACTTGACCAAAAAATAGGTGTGAAGGCCTAAGTAAAATCTCAAGCAACTTTACTTTGCATCTCATTAAACTCGGAAAGTTGAAGCGATTCAAGAAAGTTTCAAGTGACTTGAAAACCATCCTTAAAACCGACTTTCGCGAACTTGCGGTTTCTAAGCTTTGAGAAAGGCGAAGCATGTCAATCAATCTTAATTATGTTGCGTGGGAAAATAGGCTTAAGTAAACCTGAAGTAAAAAAGATAGGCTGTGTGTGAAGCTTTCTTTTACTTGAAGAATTTAAAATTTACTTGTCTTGAAATATTTCTTAGCTTATTTAGGCTCTAGTGTGAAGACTATCATTTACTTTAATTTTACGGCACGTGTGTTTAATTTAGGCCTCATTTTAGAGATATATGCAATAACCGTAGGATCTGACTAGATGGCCATGTCGCCGGAATCAAATCGGAAAAAATTCAAAACTTGTTCGTACAAACTTTCTCTCTATTATTATGACATATCATGTTAAGTTAGCACCTTATGCCATAAAGGAATCTCGTTAAGTTCGATTTCTGCTATAATATGTGACCCTCCACAGGAATTTGATGCTAAAGGTGAAAGCACGCGCACGACACGCTTGCACGACACGCTTAGCGTGCCGTAGATCACGGATATGCGCATATTAAATTGAAAAAACAAAGACGGACACACTTGCCGTTGTTTTGGCAAATTTAACACGCTAGACCTTTTTTTTTTTGTAGCGTGCCATATGTCACGGTAAGTGTGCGAATTATAGCACGGTTAGTGTGCAATTTGGGTAAGACACGCTGAACTCGCTTGATTACTAAAACTGCTAAGATGACAAAAATGGCTAGGGTTTTCAGCGATTTAATCAGCATTGATAACTGGTCGAAGTGAATCAAATATACCAATTGAGACTGTTTTGGAATTTGATAGTAACCGTGGCCATTTGAAAATCACGACTTAATGGTGGTCTAGCCTGGAATTAACGCGAGATCAGTGTAAACCAATTCCTCGGGCTGTCGGCTGTTGACCGGAATCGCAAAGAGGCCTGCTATCGCATGCGAGGCACTGAAGTTATGTCGCCTGAAAATTATAGTTATGCCACCGGAATAATTATTAGCAGTAATGCACAGAGAAATGAAGTTGAATAAATTAGTTTAATATATTTCTTTAAGCCATGCTGAGACGAACGAAGGTAATTAAATCGGAGAAACAAAAACTGCTTAGAATTTTCTATAGGTTGAGGAAGGCTAAACATTTCTAGATGACCCTTCCATGCATGTACAATTTACGAAGGTTATCTAATAAATTCCTTACGATTTTCTGAAGTTTATTTTTTTCCATTTCATTCCCCAGTTAAGCTTTTTTTCGTAGAGAATTTTTTTCCGAAAATACGATAAAATTCTCACTTTCCTAAAACTTTCAATTGGAAGCTAAATTTTTCGGGAAAATAATGCTGAAGCCCTTGTAATTTCGAAAAGACTGAAGTTGTCCTAGGATGCTAGGATGCATTTAGGAGGAAATCGCCGTCAGGTGCCCCTGACGAACGAAGCGCTATCAATCATAATTTATGTAAAGATATCTCGTTATGCTATGCTAAGACGAATCAAGCGCTGTAAACGTGTACTATATCTCGTTCTTCACAGGACGAAAAAAACAAGAATCTGTAAACTAAAAACACTGTAGAATGAGGGAGGATTGCAGGCGACTTTTCTTTGAATTTTGGGCGACAAAACTCATATTATCAGGTTTTGGACGACATAACTTCAAACGACATCACTTTCGAGTAGCTTGACCGTCACCCCTTTAGATCGAGCTCGATGAATTAATTCAATGACCGAACTTTATGGAACAAATGATTGCCTTCAAGAATTTCACGCGGACTACTTTTAATTTAGTTCTTTTTCTCTTTTCTCAGTGTGTAACTGACAGAGATTTAATTCTCGGATCGAACTTTAGTACTCTAAACACGCCGTATTATCGTGGCAAAAACAAAGAATCAAACAAAAAAGCACCATGCAATTTCGGAATTCTGTTAAAAAATACATTTTTTGCTTACTATTCAAAAAGCGGTGAAACAGTCATTAATTAACTGATCATGTTTCGCTTTTTGTGTTATTGTCGGCCGGATCAATTAAGCAACGTTGGAAACGTTTTGGAATTTTGGTACATCTAGAAAAGCAGGCTGGTTTTTATTTGATCACTACGATGCTTGCAATCGCTAAAAAATAAATAGAATTTAGTGATCCTGGCATAAAATAATCATTTGCACTGAAAACAGTTGTAAAGTAAATAATTTTCTCTAGCCATGATAAAATTAAGCCTGTTGAATGTATACTGTTATAAAATTGCATTTAGGTATTGTGAAGGTTATAGTTGCATTTTATTCAGCGTGGACATCTCCAAAGGGAAGTTTGATAATGCAAGGAAAATAAAGATATAGAAGAAAAATAATTTCAGTTCAAATGCAAACTGTGTGGGTTTTGCTGAATGCACACTTTTATAGCCTGAAATAAATTTCCAACCAAGTAAATATATAATATCCTGATTTATATATATAATTCCCCGATTGCTTATCAACAATGCCATAAATTATTTTATTCCCACCTCTGGTGTTACTTGGTTCTATCTCGTCATAACCATATTCAATGAGCTCATTCATTACAATCAGTTTTAATTAAACATTGTCGTTTAATTGTGAGTCTTCTTCTATGGAAAAGTCAAGGTTTTTTGTGGTATATGAACTGCAATTTGTCTTAAATACTTTGTGTTGCTAAATTGATACTAGCTCGGTTTTTGTCGGCTGGGCAAAAGACCCACACTGGCAATTATAGTAACAGTATCAGTCTTATTAACGAAGCAGGGCCCAGTTGGTTAATCATAGGGTTAGTATCAGCTTTAAATTCTGTTCCATAATGTACAGGTAATGGTGCGGATTCCTGTTTTGTCTTAAATTTAGACTTTGGTAACTCAACATAAACCTTGAAAACCCTTTCTTAACATACGACATACACTAAACCCAAGGTTAGGGGAGAGTTCCATGGGTTCCGGAACCCCCCTTTGGGCTATGAACCTTGCTACAACTTCAAGCAAAGAAGAAAAAAAATCAGAAAGGCCTTTCATGCTATATCGAGGGTTGCAATGTTATTATTATAGAGATTAGCAAGAGGTCTGCAAGACAACATTACTCAGCTTGTGCGAAACACGGTGCCGGGTTGAAGACAATGAAGCGCATGAAGTTTTCTTTTCGTACTCCCATCAGTACCGAGAACAGTAGAAGCTACGTCAATTAAGTGGCTGTTTGCAAATCAATTTGAGGAAATTACCTGGAACTGGGATGCTGACAGTAATAGCAAGGCAAACAGCCTGTGGTATCCAATGCTAATTCAACACTACCCAGGTTACCACAGTGCCTTTCATTATAACAAGCCACTCAGTATCAAGTTTAGCAGTGCGTACAGCTGAGGCCATAATTGGCAGAACCCAACCGTGAACTCTTTCCACTGAAACGTAGACAAGTTTGTGTATTTGTTTGTTTGTTTGTTTTTTATGTACGTCGCCAATTACTTTAGCGGAAAGTGAGTGATCGTTCAGGACATTGTGCCAAGAGCCATAATCCCATTATGGCTCTTGATTGTGCCGACTGAAGACACACCCAAGATTGGCCATGTCCAGCGACCGATTGTCTGGACTTTCTTTATTCTTTCCCATCCCCACGTCTCACCCTTCACTCTCGTCTTGCGCTTCGCTAGAAAGCTCCGTTCACCATGCATGGCTCGTAAAGCGTCTGTCATGCAGGCTACTCCAGGGTGTCCAGTTCCTATTTTTTCCTATTTTTTTTTTTAAACCTATTCCTATTTTGTCCTATTTTTTTTTCTATTCTTTTAGCTGGTGAGGCCAAAATTTGTAACAAAATTGAAAATGGAATTATAGTTATATGTTTTCCATAGAGTGAGATTTATCATAAAGCAAGTAGTATGTTCACTTTGATGTTCAGGCTAATATTAGCAAAAATAATAGTTACGTTTGTTGTTTCCATGTCCTCTATCAAATATTGGAGTTCTGTTAACAAATTTGTTCTATTGTTACTTTTTTATATAATTTTCTAGCGCACCTACATGTATTGTATGCCGTGTTGTAGTTTTCATGACTCTTGAATAACACTGTGCGTAGCCCACCATAGGACTTGTTAGTCCTAGTTCGACATCCTTCAATGACAACGCAATGGTAAAAATTTCTGTCATAAGAAATTTCACTGTTTGAAGCTTTTCAACGATTTTGCCGCCAACTTGAAGGGAATTTGCATATGATCACCTTTGATTATAGAACAACGCTCGACCTGCGGTCAAGCATATCATTCTGGATTACAGTATAACTGAACCAATAAACTAAACGTTACTGATCATATTCACTCCTTCTAAGCCGCGAAAGTTGATCTAAATCCTGCGAACGTAGAAGCCTTAATTATAACCCTGATGGAGTGCGGGGAGGCAATCTTTATCGACGAAAGTACCACTGATTTTGCTATTTTTGTCCTATTTTTTCAATACAAAGTTTCTATTTACTCAATCCTGAGTTGCCTAATTTCCTATTTTATTTTGAACAACCATGTCGCCGGACACCCCGCTACTCTAATAAACATCCGGTACTGCAGGCTCCTGACGTAAGTTCAACAATCGACATTTTTTGTACGGAATCATCCAAGGAGCCTCCTTCTTGCTGATATGCTAGCTGAGTGAACAGTTCATCACAACTGATACCACAGTGTTTGATAAAGTACGTTATGTATTCAACAACTATTGACAGATGCACTTTTAACCCTCTTTGAAAGGAAGGGTGATTTGCAATCCCCTCTCAGAAATTGTAGCTTTATTTGGCACTGACATTATTAGAAATTTGTGGCCAGAATCAAGAAATTTCTATCGGAGGGCATGCACCCTCACCCAATGCCTCTCACAAGAATGCCACCTTAGGTTCCCCTGCATGCAAAATTGCTGGCTACGTCCCTGGGCTATTAGACCCCGTTCCCCGGAAAATGAGTCTTACAATGGATTGCACACTGGGAAGCTCCAACTGAAATGGGTACGTTTTTTCGGACTGGAAATTATTGTGCGTCGAATAAGGCAAACTGCTCTTAGTTACAAAAAAGAAGAATCCTTCAAATTATTAATGTCGTAGGTATAAATATATTATGACGGGATTATTACCAGTCGCCTTGCAACATCACATACACAGCATATACAAAGGCATAGAGGCACAAGTCTTATAAATTACCTTTGCATAAAAAATGTTCAAGTACCGAAAAATGCATGGCCGCAAAAGCATGAAATCGTTATCACAAATTGATTTAAAGAAATATTGGGAGTCGAATTTACATTCCACCATTTTGTCTGGGAAAACGTCCCGTTAATATTTTTAGCCAAAAAGACGGGAAAAGTCGTGCTGACCTCTATTTACTTTTCAAGACACCTTTTTGAAAGTGGCTTACGAACATGAGTTCAGGGCTGGTTTACGACCCTTTTTCGGATGTCCCTTCCTTCACACATTTTATTTTCCCTTACTAGTGCAAGTTAATTACCCAACTACACTACAGTATATACAAGTGTAATTTTTAAACAAGCTTCATTAAAATAAAAAAGTCATTAGAGAGAGCTTAATCAGCAGAAGTTCTTGAGGTCACGAACGCCGACCGGAAGTCACTCGTGCTAGTGTGAATGTACTGCGCATGTGTTCGCGTCCGTCAGAACGCCACTTTTGAAGTTCAAGATAGAACGTGAGATTCTAGTAGTCGAGAGTTCGCGTTTGGGTAAGAATTATTCCTAAATTGTTGGCCTACAACCAAGAAAAAACCCTTCTGCTATTTTTCGGTGTTTTAAAAGATGTAAACATCAGGTAAACAGTTTCTAAGTTTATTTTCGGACTCGAAAGGTTGAGCCGGCTAGCCCTGGCTGGCTGCAGAACTCGAAGATGGCTAGGTTTACGGGATTTACGTAAGATTTACTCAGTTTTAGTCTATGCGAATCATCGTCAAGTGAACTCACACATCTTATTTAAGCGAGCTTTATCTTCTTGTAACTTCAAGGGCCAATAATGTCGACTGTATGATTTGATAGTTTGCTTACAATGAAAAATATTAAATTACAATGCTATGACTGCGTCTTTTTCTGCATTGGGTTGATTATTTATATCCTGAAAACGTTTTTTAGCTAGACGCCTGTGATATTTGGCGTAATCGACTTTGAAAAAGAATAGCAAACTAAATCTCATTTGTGGTTAATGAAACTTTAATATAAAATTGGCTGCTAAACTTCGCTGTCATGTATGGTTGTTCCACAGGCGGCCCAAACTCACGTTGCGAGGGAAGGGTGTAATGTAATTTACATAACATATGTGACGCGCCGGTGTCGCGTTACAGACGACCGTTGAAAATGTAAGAGACTTTGTATGGGAAATGTATTACTGAGATTTGCGAAGGCCAAATAACGCTAAAACTTACTTTTTCTTAAATGAAATGAATAAAAAAGTCTTACCTGCAATCTATTCCGCTGCGGTTTGGTGTCTGTTTGTCGTTTTACTATTTTTTTGGCTTTATTGCGTAACCACTGTTACTCCTTTCATAAAACGAAGTGAAGGCTGGTCACTTCCATCTGTAGGGGTCCTGGACCAGTCGCAAAAAAAATGCCGTTTTTTTCGCCGAAATTCAAATCCGCTGCAAATTTTTCAGCTCCAGCCCAAGAAGGAAACCTCTTCTTCCTCTCTGGGAGATCGGCTCGAAAAAAAATCCGTAATTTCCCCATCAAATCGAGCCATTTGTGCCGGACTTCGAGGCAAGTCTGGCTTTCGTGCAGTGCCTGTGACCACTGTCGCGCTTACCAAGGTTTCCAATTTCAAATGCAAATTAGTTGCTAGGGTGGCGTGGTGGGGCGAGGAGCCTAGTTAACGGGTCATTTCTGCCCTTGCACCCGTCGCGTAAGTGCTAATTGTCACCCTAGCAACTAATTTGCATTTGAAATTGGAAACCTTGGCATTTTTTTTGCGACTGGTCCAGGACCCCTACAGATGGAAGTGACCAGCCTTCACTTCGTTTTATGAAAGGAGTAATAGTGGTTACGCAATAAAGCCAAAAAAATAGTAAAACGACAAACAGACACCAAACCGCAGCGGAATAGATTGCAGGTAAGACTTTTTTATTCATTTCATTTAAGAAAAAGTAAGTTTTAGCGTTATTTGGCCTTCGCAAATCTCAGTAATACATTTCCCATACAAAGTCTCTTACATTTTCAACGGTCGTCTGTAACGCGACACCGGCGCGTCACATATGTTATGTAAATTACATTACACCCTTCCCTCGCAACGTGAGTTTGGGCCGCCTGTGGTTGTTCGCTCGATTAGTGTCTACACAATCAAATAGAACAAGACGGCATTTCAAGCTTGGCGAATAAGCGTGAAAGGTGAAATCTTCATATGAGAATGGGACAAAGAAAATGTACGAGTTCCCTTCAGCGACAAAGATCTTTCTGAAATTCGAAATGTTACGTCATGAGTGAATACATTTCAAATAGCTAAAAGTAAACACAAACAAGACGTCCGTGACTGACTTTACACAAAAACCATTCATTGGCTAATCTTCACTTTTCGCGCAACAAACGCCGTACTCGATCCAGACCGGGCGCAACCTTCCTGACGTCCGTGACCTCAAGAACGTCTGCTGCTTAAGCTCTCTATTTAGTTTCTACAAGAAGTCTCTGTGTGCTTCCTTTTTTAGACTTGGATGAATGTACCACTGGCTCCCATTCCTGTGACTTCAATTCCGTATGCCAGAATACCGTGGGTTCATACAAATGCTCGTGTAATGCTGGGTACACAGGAGATGGAAAACATTGCAATGGTATTTGAGATACAGTTGATCCTCCATGTGCGACCATCTCTCCTAGGCGACCCATAAGTCTACATGGAGCTACACATATCGTAACTGTGAAATTGCACACAATTGTTTTTCAAAGAGACAACCTGTTAATGTTCGATTTTTGTAAACGACATCTTCCCGTAAGCGACCTCTAATCTGAAGGTTCTTAAAGAAGACGACGAATTGAAGGTGCAATGTTTGTGTGCAAAAGCTCAACACTGTCATGTCATTTTGGAAAAAAGCCGAAAACCATATTTGTTGAAACATGCAAACAACAACTCAAACAAGAACAAAAAAACAAGAAAAAAAAAATGAATACATCACCTTAATTAACGGCCAGATGTAAACCATCTGGTAGATTTACGTAACTTACAATTCTCATGCAGATATCGACGAGTGTTCTACCAACCCTTACAGTTGTGACGTTACTGCGGTGTGTAGCAATAATGTTGGATCGCACGCATGCGCATGTAAAGCAGGATTCACAGGCGATGGAAAAGCATGCTCTGGTAAGCTGTTGCGGTGTTGTAACAAACGCTTCCAAAGCGATGTGCGTGCCTGTATTTTCTAACGATGGACATGCAACCTAAATGGTTCGAAATAATAATTAAGCAAAACTAGAAATACGCATCTCGCAAAATTTCACGAAACTCGGTCTTGCACAATTGTCAAGCCCAGCCGGTTAGAAACTGATTATCGTAACACCTGGGACTTCTTTCTCTCCCGTTTTCGTTTTTGTTTCTCTTCATTATCCTATTTGATTTTTAAATGCGTATTTTAAAGCATTTTTTTCGAATTGTGTTTATTACGTGTAATTTAATGTCCTCCCCCCTTCGTTTATATGTAAAAGGGCAATAATAATAATAGTAATAATAATAATAATAATAATAGTAATAATAATAATAAAGCGATTACCTATTGTAGTTAAGCAGGATTAACGCATAGAGAAAATAAGAGTAAATCACCGTATTGATCAAGAGTTTGCTGCATCACTAAATAAGAAGGCTTCCTCACTTTTTTCGCCAGATATCGACGAGTGTTCTACCAACTCTCACAGCTGTGACGTTAATGCGGTGTGTAGCAATAATGTGGGATCTTACGCATGTGCATGTAAAGCAGGATACACAGGCGATCGAAAAACATGCACTGGTGAGCCGTTTGGGTTTAATCTCGTTTGTATGATATTTTTGTTTTTAGATTGAATGCAACGACAGCAATGCAAGTGTCTTTTTTGCTCGTCTCGTCTCTTACAGTTAAAGTTTTGGTTTGGCAGGAATTTAATGTAATTTTACTATTGACTGTGTGTAGTAAACAACTAGAAAAGCAGAGCAGGTAAGTGCAACGGCGGATTATTGTTTAGACCTGCGATCATTTTTGTAGGCCTAAAAGTCAATTGGTTCGATGCCCTAAACGTGAAACAATGAGAAATTATGACAAACTAATGAATGATGTGTTATTGTTTCTGCGACGAATGAGGAAACACCTTACGAGCAGCTCCATCGTTGCTGTTTTTTTTTTTTTTTTTTTTTCAATCGCGCTTAAGATTTAATTTAGTCCGTTTTCCTAGTTCTTTTTTCTCTTAACAATGAAAACTGTTTTGATTATACGTTTTGGCATTCTTCGTTTTGTAGATATTGACGAGTGCGCCAGCGGTACTCACAACTGTCACAGTTCACTTGCTTCATGTACAAACACAATGGGATCTTTTAGTTGTTCATGTAGCAATCCTTACAGTGGAAATGGCAGAACTTGCAATCTACCATCAGGTAATCAACTCGCCGAATGTTTGGAAGGTGTCCATTTACTAGACCGCCACATGGTATCCCGCCGTAGGGATCGTCGTTACTTTCGGTAGCATTGTCCTGATACTAATTTCGCACCTGCGTGACTAAACCAGCCTTCAACAAATGTTTGAGCTTCTCAGTCTATCTGGATTTTGTCCTGCGACCTCTTATGTTCAGGAATATTTGAAGATAGCGGTCTAGCAATTAACGGACTATGATTCTTATAGACATCACTACTTTTGACTGGAGCTTTAAGATAATGGTGGTTTCTTTGTGTCGCGGAAAAGAAAACTAATTAAAACAATACACACAGGACAAAACAAAAGCGAACTAACGATTCATTTCTGCAACACCAAGAAAAAATGCACCCAAGATAACATATACTAGTAGAGAGTTCAGTACTCCATAGAAAAGTGTAAGAAAACAATTTTTAGTCGCGACTTGAGCAAGGACCAAGGGCTAATTTACAACCTTTAGCATCATCAAAGGGTTCTAAGTGGTCCATTGTATTTCGAGAGATAAAGAAGCTTCACTATAAGAAAAATAATATATGAAAATGGCGCGTTGTAAATCCGTTGCACAAGGCGAATAGTACTGGGGTGCTACATACTTGAAAGATCCAACCAGCATAAATCACATGCACTTTGTCGTTTAAATTAGACCCTTCTCACTAAAATGATGTAAACAGAACCATGGGATTGAGTTGGGGAAGCGCCACAAGCTTGTTTCAGTTTCAATCAAGTGATCATTCAACTTTGCCTCTATACTTATATTTTTGGTCTCGGAACTAAACCAACGCAACGAAGTGAAATAATCTAGTTTCTTCTCAATTATCATTGATTCAAAATATATCACCGTTATCCAATCGATGGTATTATCCTCTTCAATCTGCACAATTGTTCACATCATACTCAGCCTCATTCAATAATTATTTAATTATATATGAACTAGTTGTAACTTTATAAGGTCCTAGGCAGAAGACAAAAACCTTAAACTTGTCTCCGCCATGTTTAGGCGGGGAATCGAATAATCATTACATTGATCAATTTTTCTGCCTGAATTTGTTTAAGGGCTAATTAACTGCATGGTGTTTACCAAGAGCCATAATAGCTCTGGGAAAGTGCCATCTTGTGTGGAATACAAAAAATGTTTATCTTTGCTTTGCGCAATTTTATTACTGCAATTAGCAATTAACGTTAAGGAGATGTTCATACATTACTAAACACAGACCGCTTTCACAGCTACATTAAGATACATTACCTTAGAATTAAACACCAGTCGAGAAACATTCGCCAAAATTAGACAATTAACTTGAACGAAATGGAATAAGGGTGATAAAATATGAAACAGCGTGAATACACGCTTTTGTGTCGTTTACACTCCATCCCGTCGCCGTCGTGGTTGCTTTAGCTCCAGGCCTTTTATGGAAAGAGACCGTGAATGATAGTGAGATCGGGTATGCTTGGTCAAAGGTTGTGAGAATACGAGGGACTCTACGCCTCCGACCGACTATCATTAATAAACTCTGGAGGAGCTAAAACGTTAGCGTCACTGAAATTCGCGGTAGGCTGGGAGATTAAAACAGCATTATTTGAAGAGAGAGCATCATGCCACTAGCACGTAAGCTCAGAACGAAAAACTTTATAGCCTTTAATTATTTTGCGCGTTTCATGCTGATCATTATGATAACAAGCTTCAGTCGTATCTTACACTTGCGCTAGCTTGCTTTTATAAAGGGAGGCTCTCCAGAAAAGTATAGTTCACTGCTTTCCGTTATTTACTCATGAGATCCCTTGACACACACGGATCCGTGCAGAAGAAGAACATGAAATTGCAGGCAATAAAAAAATCAAAAAGGAATAGTTCATACTTCCTTTTGAATTTATGGGCATCCTCACTCAAGAAATTTCAAAACTCGACCTTGGTGTCAGTGCTCCCAGGCAACCTTCCAGCACAAGATCACTCAGTGAGCACATTTTTTGCTTTCAGGATTACAAAAGTATAAAGTAAAAGTCTCTCATTACGGAAAACACGACGTGCGGGAATTGTGCGTGTTTTAGTTAGGAACGTTTTCATAAACCCTATTTGTTTTGTTTTGTTTTGTTTTGTTTTTACAATAGCTGAGTTAGTTTCCTCGCCCGCTGATTGGCTATTTTCTGATAATAATAATAAGAGGACAGACATAAAATGTTAATTTCTGGAAGACGGAACACTCGTTTAAAACAAACACCCGTATATAACGGACTGTTTCTAATATTTACTTGCCTAATACGGACACCCGTTAATGCGGATAACGGACACTTTTCTGTGTCCCGAGGCACAAACTCTCATACACTGTCAACCCCTGCTAGTTACGAACACTCCAGATTATCTGCGCACCGACTATTTCCCTTGTCAAAATCATTTGCTAGTTGTAGATATTGTACACTGTTCAAACAATGACAGATTTCTTTGGGTTTAAGTAGCAGAATAACGTGATAGGTTTGATTTTAAGTCAGTCTTTCTTCCCATGTTTGCCCCTTGTACTTTTTTCCGCCTCCTACTACACAAGTTTCACTCCTTTGGCTTTTCGCCGCAGTCACTGTTTCTACCCTTCGTCCTCTTTGTCTGCCTTAGTCTTTATATCGATACAACATGAGTCCTTGACGTTTTTTTTTTTTTCAAAGAGGCCACTTAATAATGCAGGCATCCGGATGATACGCAAACACCACAGCATGTCCCCCTAAGTGTCCGTATTAATCGGGTTCTACGGTAGTTTCTTTTTGAAAAGTAAAATGTCTTCTACTGCTCCTTTTTCCCAAACTTTTGTTATAATAAAAAGAAAATTGACGCTAGGTCATAACATTGTCAAAGTTTCTAGTAGATTCACTCGCCTGGGGCTAGGGCTCGTGGATCCACAACACTTTGACAATTTTATGACGTAATTTTATCATCAATAAGAGGGCAGACGATGAAGAAACTAGCGTCAATTTGATGAATTGAACCAGTTTACAGTTTAGTGCAAAAAATTGTTATTTAACCTACTATTTCCCTACTTCACCGTATGTAGCAGAGATCACTCATCCATTTGTAGGCGCAGACTGAGGCGCGGCTTAAGAATGCGCACAGATATATTTGTCCCCCTTTCCCATGCTATTGCCTAAACTTGACTGTATGTCTACCAGTGTGTGAAAGTCAGTAACCAGTCCTCAATTACTCGTATGTAGGCAGAGCTTGTGACACTGGGGCCGGTGCTGGGGGATCTTAGAGCACGTGTGAGTTAATTACCCACTTTGAACCTGTTTTTGCACAGTACAGTAGATAAAGTTTACGAAACCAGTTAAACTATAACAAAATATTAAAATATGAAATAATTTTTTAGCTTTTTAAAAATTAAATTAATTCTTATGATAATAATAATTTTTTTTTCTATATCAGAATGTCAGAATTACGCAAGTCTTAACAACGCTGACAGAAAGATTACTTATGCCCTATTTACCACCATTATTGTGACAGAGGTATTGGACCTGGTTGGTTTCGTTTTGAGGGGTCAGCCGGCACACGATTGCCAACTTCATGTCCACCGAAAAACAGATGCGGCACTCAGGCAACCGCCTGGTTGAACGGTGGACACCCCACAGTAATGGACGGTCAGGTCAGCAGGCAGGTGTGTTTTAGCTGGGATAACTGCTGTTATTGGTCAGCAAACATCAAAGTGAGAAATTGTGGTTCATATTATGTGTACTATATTAGTGGTACACCTGTTTGTAATCTCCGTTATTGCGGCACTAATTAAAAACAAGGTGCAAGTAAAGTATTACATATTCTATCATTTCACTCAAGTAGGCTTCATTGTATTAAAGGAAGGATAAAAAAGAAAAAAAAAAGGAAAAACTGCACTTAACTTCAATATCTGAATTTCTATAACTAAGCAAGGACAGATTTCTTGAAACTTAAAATGAGGATAAGTATTTTTTTTTAAGCCGTTTTGAAGATCAAGTAAGTAAAAAAAAAGAACAAAAAAGACAAGAAATGATAATAGAAGGAAGTCAGACTAGGTAAAATAAATACAGTAAATTAGCAATGCAGTTTTCTGTGTCACTTGTCACTGTAACCAGAAATATATATTGAGTCCAAGAATGCCATGCAGTTGCTAAATAAACAAAGATGGACACTTAGAAGATGTGCCGGGAAGGGCAGGTCACGAATCTACTTACTTGTTTTAATATTGATCCGTATCGGGATGCACTCTGTAAAATCGAAAACGACATGCATAACGACTATAGGTACAGTCAACTCGACGTCTAGCGGTTCATATTATGTGTAATATATAGATTTAGCCAGGGCTAAAAGTGAAGCTCCCGTTAATAAATTCATAATTTAAATCAAACAATAAACTTGTAATCCACAGATCAGGGCACATTCATTTGACTTTTGAGGCAAAGGCTGAGTGATTTTAGAGAAAAATCAGAATTTGACCGTCCAAGAGTGAAACAAATTTTACATCAAGTTATTTGTACACCGAAAAATAGCAATCATGTTCGATCACAGTAGATTAGGCCTCGAAAACAAATAGACCTTTTGATGTATTGTATTTGCATTAGCTGTAGCATCATAATGTGGCATTCACCAGCCTTCCAACATTGCTCCGTTAGAGAGACTATGGATAATTGGACAACCCCGAAATATAATTTTAAGAAACACCTGCGCCACGATAGTCCTCGGTGGCAGCCAATTTACACGTTGCATTCCTCTGTTTAAAAGAGAGGCCAAAATAAAAATCAGGCCGGATTTTTGTGTTCGACAAGTTTAGTTTACTAGTAAATCTTGGCGACGAATCTGGTGGCGTGTAAACCAGCCTTTTAAACATACGTTTTCTCATCACGTCTCAGGTAAACAGTACACAGACCTCGGACAGAATTTGTTCTTTTTTGCTCTATTTAAACCTATAATTCTGCAGTTTTTCGCAATTTTGCAAGAGAATTTGCACACATTCAATATCCACGACGATCAAAGCACGCACTTCCTTTGCACAACAAATTATAGCATTGAA